AAATACGCGACCTAAATTTCAATATTCCCATCCCATCATTTAAAAAACATATTTTAAATTTGTGATATTATTCATATATTCATTAATCAAATTAAATCCGCCGACCCCGGCCTAGCTAAAACCTAGGCGGGGAGGCGCCCGAGACACCGCAGGGTGCAACATTGACATTGGCATCTCTACCTCTGCTTTCATGTCCTGGCATTAGTATTCCTACCTCTGTTTTCATGTCCTGGCATTGGCATCTCTACCTCTGCTTTCATTGGCATCTCTACCTCTGCTTTCATGTCCTGGCACTACCACCAAGCCGTAGGCGGTTCATGTCCTGGTCGAGCCACCACCCCGTGGGCTGTTGGCTTTTTTGAACCGGAGCCTTGGAACTGTTTTATGGGTTCCAGAAGCAACGTGCTAGGTGACGTCAAGCATTTTGGTTGGCTGCACCCCCCCTGTTCCGACCGCTTTTGTGGGCAGAAATAGATGGTGTCGTTTGCCACCCCGGAAATGCGCCGCTGCGGCTGCATTCTGCCTACACGCACACCGAGTCTGAAAGCTGTGGCGAGACAGATTGGCGGAGCCTTGGGAGTGAGCCTCTGGCAATGCCAGGCAACTATTTTACGGGTTCCCGAAGGTAACGTGCCAGGTGACGTCAGGTATTTTGGTTGGTTGCACCCTTTCCCGTTCCGATTGCTTTTGTGGACAGAAATAGATAGTGTCATTTGCCACCCCAAAAATGCGCCGCTGCGGCTTTTTTGAGCCGGAGCCTTAGGAGTGAGCTATGACAATGCCAAGCAACTAGAGGCCTCATGCACTGCGAAACCCGCTGGTTTGCTGCACGCGTACATCCTCCTGACAGCTGTGGCGAGACAGATTGGCGGAGCCTTGGGAGTGAGCCTCTGGCAATGTCAAGCAACTATTTTACGGGTTCCCGAAGGTAACGTGTCAGGTGACGTCAATTATTTTGGTTGGCTGCACCCTTTCCCGTTCCGATTGCTTTTGTGGGCAGAAATAGATGGTGTCGTTTACCATCCCGGAAATGCGTCGCCGCGGCTTTTTTAAGCCGGAGCCTTGGGAATAAGTCTCTAGCAATGCCAAGGTATATTTTATGGGCTCCCGAAGGCAATATAACATACAGGTAACGTAAGGTATTTTGTTTGCCTACAACCCGCCCCCCCCCTATTCCGACCACTTTTATAGGCAGAAATTTATGGTATCGTTTGCCATCCCGGAAATGCGCCGCCGCGATTATATCCTACCTACATATATACCGAGCCTCTAACAATACCCAACAACTATTTTATAAATTCCCGAAGGTATAAAATCGATAAATAAAAACATTAAATTTCTAAAACGGCAATTATTTAAGAGAAAAAAATCTTTTATATGCGGTAATAATCTAATGCAATTTAATTATCTAATTATATTTATAATAATATTTATAAAATTTCAAAAAAATCTACTAATTTAATATAATTATATATTAATCATATTAAAATTTCATTTTAAATTTTTAAAAAAATATCCACCAATATCAAATAATTCCTCCTTTCAATTCTTTTCAATTAATCATTCCGATTTAAATCCCCTTCCAAATCCCCATATTAATCGATTAAAATTCAAAGCCAAATACGATAATTAATACTCAAGAATTTACCAAAAAATCAAAGATTTTTAATGTTTCATTTATAAAAAACAAAACATCGACGAAACCAAAGCGAACCCTTACAATATATATATATATTTTTTTTTTCATTATCAATTAATAAATATATCCAAATATTATCATCAATAATATTCCCAATATCAATCCCCCCATAATATCATCGCCCTCTATTAATCATAAATCGTTAAAATTACAAAAACAATTTGATTGAATTACATTATGACTTATATTATCCATAAATACCATAAATATATCTTTCAAAAGAATTTAAAATATTCTATCCTATTCACTAATTACAATATTTTGTTTTTTTTTGGGGAAAGGGTGCGCCTTCGGCCAATGATCTTTGACCTCCACGTCGGCTTTCCGTGTCTGTGCAAGTGCTACAATGGTCCTAAAAAGTGCCCATTTGGGCCTTCCTCCCCGATTCGCACATTCGTGGCTCCTCGGAGCTCGCCTCGCATCAGTCTTCCAAATTGAATCACATGAGCCGTCGCATGTGGAGCTGGGACTCAGCTCATACACCCGGCAACCACAGAAAAAGCTGGTCTTGTGGTGACTGGCTAAGGATTCAATGTCAAGTGCCTCAAGGACCGGGAAGGAATTAAATGTCTAGGACTAGGACCTCCGCCAAAATATAAACGAATAGGTTGAGAGCGGTAAGGGCATCATACAAGGGGTGAGCCTTGCATACCCTTGGAGGCTTGTGTTAGTGTCTTAGCTTACTATTTTGCACTGTTAAGAACCCGAAAGCAACCACTTACACGAGTTCATGCTTTCTTAGTTTGGTTCCCTGAGTCCCCATGCTTCATAACCTTAATTCACCATGAAAAACCACCAGACCAAACCTACCCAAGAAAAGACCGTGCAGTTTTCTGGTCTTGTTCATAGTTCTTCTCAAAGAAGGCGACTTTCTCTTGAACATTGCACTACTCAACATCGACCCTAATTCCTGGATCCTTACTTCCATCCAAAACCCAAGCCAATTTCTCGATTCTCTTTGATTTCCGCATCTGTACATTGTACATTTGTGTGAATTTAGGTGGCTGTTGGAAGGTTGCCAGGTGTATCAGCCCGATGCTTCAGCAGCCGTGGGGGATAAAGGTGCTGCGTCCGCGGCTTCCGCGCCCGGTGCCGGGTCTGGCGGCTTGCCATTGGCCGCGTCACCCGCAGGGGCTGGAGAACCTGACCGAGGGCAATGTGAAATCATTGTTGAACTTCAGCGTAGATTCAGGAGATCGTCTCACATGGTTGGGGCTCTGAACGACAACTACAATCAAACCCATGTAAACCATGGAGGCGTTGCTAAAGAGGCTGATGCGATTCATGTCTCACTTGGTCTCCGCGGAATGGATTGTTCCTCTGGCAGCTTCAATGCAACGCCATGTCATTCACCACCCTCAAGACATGCAAAGATCCACTCAGGCCAAGCCAGTGTAAGTTAAACAATAATAGACTACTGATGATTAATAACAATTTACCCCCAATTGAATTGGATTGTAAAACCTCTTCAAATATCTTCAAATTGCAACATGGGGGTTGAGTCGAGATATAGTTAATCAACAGTCTAGAGTACAAGATTCTTTGGTAAATCTGCCCAGCCATGTCCCTCACAGCTGGGCGTCCCTGCAGTTTTTGGCTGGCACCTGCCAGGTCCGACCCAAGCAAAGGAATATCATTCATGGCGTACAGTATCATGACCAAATGCTCTTGAAGACTTGCCTCTTCAGAATTGAAACAGGATGCAACGAGGGGAAACAAAAAGAACTACCAAACACCATCCCCAACATTCCCAACTACCACGGCGGGACTCAAAAGTGAATTATACAATTATACAATGCTGTCTATATGAATATACAGCTGTCAAGACATTTCTGCTGTCAATACACTATAGCACTGAGGCTGGAGCTACGCTGCCGACCATCATTAAGCACTGACCAGGACGCACAAGATCCTGCCACAAAAGCAGAGTTGAGCGGAAGAGCAATGAAACACTTGTGCAGAAACAAAGGACATTGTGTATCGGTGAAAGCTAGGGACCCCAAACTGGCACAAGTGTTGTTGTTTGGCAATCTTAGCACAGGGCAGGACTGAGTGAGTTTTGAAAGCCAACCTAACTCCGAGATCAACCAAGTGAGTCACTTTGAGTATCTAGGAGCTTCAACGACTCAAGGCAATTGTATCCTGCAATAGGTATCCAATCCTAACTCCAAATGCCCCTCAGGCAGTTTGGTTCTCATTTACCCTGCAAATTCCAACAGTTGAAACAAGAACACTTGTCTGATTCACCCATGTTGTGCATACGCAAACATAGGTCTCGGGTGACCCTCCAAATGTCGCAGGTCAAGAACCCATCCCACACCCTTCCTTGGTCCGAATTAATGTCCATCTCCAAACAATTGCACCCATACAGGATGAAATTGGATGAATGGACCTAATAGCAATGGCTGCCATCCTAGTAGCGATGGCCTCCACCCTCAGAGCGATGGCCTCCCCCCTAAGAGCGATGGCCTTCAACCTAATAGCAAAGAACTGGACGGTGGATGCATCCAACACTTCCCTCCTTGATCTCTTGCCATGTAGGCTCATTCACCGGCGGTGAAGTGTCTTCATTGATCGGCAACCTGTCCGGTGACCGTGGCCCTGATGTTCCAACTACCTCCGCTGACCTCCACATTTGATAAACTAAACCATCCAGTGATTTGTGCTTCTCTCATCGATGTGGGTGTGAATTGTGAATGTGTTTGATGAAACTGCATTTCGGTTGATTGAGCTGTTGTCAGCAAAAGCCATAGTTTTCGTTAAGTCAGCTCTGCATATCTGATATCTTGTATGGAATACCGACGCCGATACCGTATAGTATGTACAATTGAAGTCATGGATTTCGGATGGTTAGTTGTGGTATTGTAATTTTTGGGCCGACATGAGCTGACAACCTATGGTCAAAACATGTCAAAACTCACTACTGGTCTACAAACGCTGCAAATAATAGTACACAATAGTACTCAGCTGCCTGTTCAACAGCTGTAAACAAAGAATCCCCAAGTCTATGTCTCAACAGGAGCCACCAAGAGGCCGCTTTTGTCATTCGATTGGAGCGATACACATCTGCAACTGACTCTCTTAGTTTCCCTGAACAATAAAGGTTGACAGTCTTCCACCTGTTCGTTTTGAGAGGGGAAACCAAGCCCCAAGAATGGTTTCAGGTAATCCACTGACGGGTAGGGCAGAATAGAAATGCTCCTCAGATCTTTGTAGAGACATGGTCTGCAGCCCAAAACAACCTCAAACGTGATCTGACTAAAAAGACTTGGTCACTGTAGTAGTGGCCTAACTCAAGCTCTCAATTAAGCAGCCCCCTAACTGTAAGTCTGTGCTTCCCACTTAACACGCGGTTTGTGCTTCCTCTCATGTTGAGAGAGACGACCTTGTAGTCATTTGTATAGTGAGGTGCCCTGAGGCGACCAAGGCCCCTAACTCGATGCCTGCGTCCGCCCAGGATCAGAGTCTGCCGAATGGCCGGCACACCTGGAGCACCAACATGAGAAACTTGGCAACTGCCACAAGGATGGGTTTGAGTTTCCAACCTAGTCTTTGCTGCATCGGATTTCCAGAGTTTGGGGTTCCAAGCGGTCTAACACACGGTCCAAGCCCTGTTCTGAATGCTTGCCACTGGATTATTCGATCGTGCTCCATCTATTCATCTGCTTTTACTCTCCAAAGTTGAGCCCACAACATGGCCCTCCTTGATCGCCCGAATCGCCACCACCAAGGCCCCATACGGGTTTCGAAGACCCTCCCAAGGCCTGTGACTCGGTGGATGTGCACCCGCAGCTCGCTAATCGAGGCAAAGTCGTCCAGGTTCACCGAGAAGGATTGGCCCGACCTCCCGGATTGGACTGAAGCTGTTCGGGCACAAGCACAACACATCACAACACTACCAAACCGATGTTCGGCTTTATTCAAACAGGGACATCTGTCGACACCTCTCGCGCGCAGCGCTCTGAAAGGATTCGTGGGTTGGATCCTCTATGATCTTCTAGTAGCAAGGTGCATCGCTACTAGTAGCAAAGGCATTACTACTAGTCAGTGACAAGAAGCTACTAGTAACAAGGGCACTACTACTAGTAGCTAGAAGCTACTACTAGCAGGGGCATCGCTACTAGTAACAATGTTCTTTTCATTTTGGCCCATCTCCCCGTGCCCTCAACGAAGGTCTCAGCATCCGCGCCATCGAAGCTTCACCGTGGGAGGTCCCACTCGTGCCTGGCCCAGCCCAGCCCATCAGAAAGCATTGCTCAGTTACTGGTAGCGTCCTTGTTACTAGTAGTAGGGCCAGGAGCTACTAGTAGCGTCCTTGCTCCTAGTAGCGATGCCCTTTGCTCCTAGTAGTTTCTTCTTACTAGTGCGTTTCTTACGGTCCGGCCGGTCCAGAAAATCCCAAGGTGGGCCGTGAAGGTCAAGACTCACTTGCGGCTTTAAGGGTATGCCTGACTTGGTACTTTACAGGATTCTGGAGCTTTGCTCTATCACAAACTGGAGGTATAACCTGGCATGACTTCACAAAGGCGTTTGACAGCCGTTCATATCGATGTGTTTGACCAGAAGAGAGCTGATTTCAAATTCGCTTCTGACGGACTACTCAGCGAATCGGTTCATGTAAACCATAGTGACATAGTGGTTATTCATGTTTTTATGCATACATATAGAGATTCACGTTAGAGATTCCTCAGCAGTATTAGGCTCAGTCTACTCTTCCTCAGTCTTCTTGGGTACTGACTCCTGAGCCTGAAACCCCATGAAGCAAGTTCAGTATACATCATGTTTGGTCGAAGCAAGTCTTGTCCTTGCTGCAAGTCTTGTCCTTCGAAATTGGTCTTGCCCATGGGCTCTGACACACACAAAGCACCACAAATGAGCAGTGAGGCGATGGCGCCATCAACAAAATCAATAAACCTGACTCTAACTTTAGCTAAACAAAGTACTGCCGGTATGATCAAGTTGATGGATTGTGCCCAATGAATCTATCAGGTCTATCAGAATGAAAACCGGTACAAATTTTGAAAGGACATGCAACAGAATCAAACAACTCCTTGGTCAGCATGCAATCCATGCCTTCCTCTGCACCGGCAAAGGGGCCTTGAGATTTCAGCATGAGTGGTGCTTCTGTCCCATCATCTGTCTCTGTCGATATAATATAGCAGTTTGGATACTCAAAATGCCCTTGATCATTCAACCTGCAGTGGTATGCGGCTCAGAATCAATATGTCACTACCTGGTATCTCCTGCTGGCGGAGTTACTATGTATCAAGGAAACGGCCATCTCGCACTGAGAAGATGACTCCGGGAGCCAATTGCCTTGGTGCAAATCTGAGGCTTTGTAGAAACAAGAAGCTACTAGACGTTCTGGCATCGCTACTAGGAGCAAGGACGCTACTAGGGGCTCCTGGCCTTACTACTAGGAGCAAGAAGCTACTAGGCTTCTACTGGGCTATGGTCATACTAGCTTTGTGTCTAGTGATTTCACCAAGGCTATGTGGTTGATGTTGAGGTTGTACTTTCCATACAGGTGTAGCACGGATTCAAAAGTGGCACTGGCACATGGAGGAGCTTTCAAGCCTTACACGCTCATCGATCCATGTCACAATTACCATGTTGGCATTGCCTCTAGTGTGGAGTGGAAGTCATTGCAGACATAGACTTTGCAGAAAGAATTAGATTGACTTCATATCAAAGACTACCAACAAACAACCCAATTGGCACATCCCAAACAACCGCATCCACCCCGAAACGCTGTCACCAAGCTAGCGCAGCTAGTGTGCGTGGGGCGCACGACTCGGGCCACCGCGCCTCGCCGGCATGCCCCCATACTTGGCACCGTGACTTGGGAAGAAGGCCTTAGTGAGAGACCTCTCTCGAAGAATGTCTGGTCGGTCTCCGGAACAATCTGAACTCTTTCGTGCCCCCCCAAAAGGAAGTTCGTAGTGTAGCCAGAACAAGGTCTTCTCCAAACAGAAGAGTTTCAAACTGAAAAACTTCTCTTCAGTTCCCAAATTTCTCGGGACTCCAAACGAAGAACTCCAGTTTCAGCGAAAACGGACACTTGAAATCCAGATCCTGAGTCTTCCGCATCGTGCGCGCCAGTGCGCCCCTTCTTGGGTGAGAGGTTGAAGGGGTTGGAGCCTCAGGTCGGTGGGGAGAACCGTGCAGCTCATTTGGATACAGGTATGGCTTTTCCTAAAAAGAACGACGAATATGGTTTCAGAAACAAGTCTCTTTGACTTCACTCTTGCTCTTTCAGCTACAACACAAATCAATCAAAATGCTGCCAGATGCTGCAATGTCGCACATGTCAAGGAGATATCCACACTCTCGTCGCAAAACGTCTTGCATGGTCAGTCCAGGACTAAGGACAGACTCATTGTATGTCTTTGAAATACCAGGAGTCAACCAAGCCGCAATGTTCAACAGTAGGTTGGAGGCCATTGCTATAAAGTTGTTCTAGTTGCATACCCCCAAAGGGGTTTTTGGCGGGGCTCCGGCTCCAATCATGGTGAGCACCAGGAACAAAGTCCTCGCACAGGAACAGTTGCCGCAGTCAGAAGAAGCTGATCGAGTCGTATACGCGGCGGGCTGAACTTTTGGGCCACGATGCTCAAACATCGAACACTCCTCCTCTGTCGCGGACGGTGTTCGTCCAAGACAGGATGGTAGCGGAGTCTGGCAGTTAGAAGATAGTCTTCTGTAATTCACTGGGTTCTTGCTGTTCGAAGCTCATGGTTTCCATGTGTTTCGAGATGGTCTTACGATCACTAGACTTGGTCAGGATGTCGCTACAGTTAGAGTGTGTTCCGATCTTCTTCACCACCAGCTCATGCCGCGCAACGCACTGCTGCAGCCAAAGGAATCGGACCTGCACGTGCCGTTGCTTGCCTAAACCCTGGCGCGAAGCAAAGCTTTTCGCGCTGCTCGAATCGCTCTCGAGCACAATGCCTAACTCGATGCCGATGTCCAGGAAGTAGGACTGCATTCCAAGACCATGTGCAGCTCCGTGCGTCAAGGCGTAGAACTCTGCCTCCGAAACATTCAAGCCAAGCACGCTCTGCAAATTGCTTGTTGCTTTCAAAACATGCCGACCGAAGAACTGCACCATTCCGGTTGTTGATCTCCTGCCAACTTTGTCTCCAGCGAAATCGCTGTCCACCGAAATCCTGATGTAGTCCGGCATCTTCTGCTGGTGATACACCAAACTGACGTTGGGAAACTGGAGCAAGTAGCGAGCAAGCCTCTTGAGCATCTCCCAATGTGCCAACCTGGGCTTTGCCATGCCCTGCGCCAATCGCTTCACAGCCTCAGCGATGTCAGCACGCTCCTGGGATAAAAAGCTCGCACGCATCACTCCCGATCTGTATCGGGATGCATCCTTCGGACTCAACTCTGCCGAAGTCTCCAATGCTCCTGCTTGTGCATCTGTGGGCTTGATGGATGGCGTGGACACTCCAGCTGACTTCATGCTCAGGCCCACACCTTGAACAATCAACTCAACATGCCGCTTGTCGGGTTCGATGCGGACCCAGCGGCGACCATCTGTAGTGCCCAACCTCACAACTCTGTTCAACACTGTTGCCTCCTGCACGCAACCTGTTGTAAAACCCAAGCGATGACTCTCTCTCATCTGATACTTGGACCCAAGAAGCTCCTTCACTTTGTCAACTGCTTCAACCGGTCCAAGAACATAAAAATCATCACCATGGACTGCTCCTCGTGAACACTCTTCTGCATTGTAAAACAACGCCGGGTTAGCTGCTCCAACCCTGTAACCGCCTCCACGAAGAAGTTCTTGCCAGTCCAACATCCACGCATGGCTTGCGTCTCTGAAACCATACATGCCTCTGTTCAACCGACCGACAATGTCGCCTTCTTCCGGCTTCTTGTCCTCCTCAGGGATCTCGACATAGAGCTCTCGCAGAACCTTGGGCATGAAATGAGCCCTGGAGATGTCAAACACTCCCATGACCAACTCCTTGTCCTGCTTCTCAAAGTCGGTGACCAGCAATGAAAACAATGCCTTCACCATCTCCCATGGAGGTGTAGCCGAAAACAACTCATGAGCTAGAAGCGCCTCCTTGGTCTTCGCCTTCAGCTCCTTGCCAACTATTCTTGACCTCACCTTGTAATGAGCTTTGTCTCCTTTGTTGACATCTACCCACCGGACCGGTAGGATTGGTTTGCCACTTGCAACTGCTTGACTTCTAGGAACTTTGTCATACAGTCCAATCTTGTGGATCCATCCGATCTCCTCTGCACGCGCCTCCTGAACCAACTTCGGTGGCAGCTGTTCACCTGAAATGTCATCATAAAACTGTTCAACCTCCTCTTGAAACTCCTCTGGGAACAACGGCTCTGTAGGATCAGGACCACTGGAGTATGCCTGAATTGAATTCAAACAATCATCAACCATCATCTGGTTCTTGATGCCCTGGAGGACCGTGTACACCAGCTCGTCCGGGTACTTGGCACAAAGATGAGCCAATCCACCAATGAGCGAAATGTGACGATGCAATGGTCCACCAGTCCTGTTTGTGCAATGCCTGTCCAACAACCTTGCAACTTCTTTGGAGTTGGTGACGAACTTGGTTGCTTTGTACACCAACCCTCGACCCTGCTTGGGAACTTCCAGACCCATGCCCCAAGCACACATAGGCCCGACCACAGTGAAAACTCCTGCACGCTTCTGAAGCTTCACCATTCGTGGATGATCCCAAGACTTTGCTCCAACGGGGTGCTCATGAAGAAAGTACTTGCCCTTCTTCCAACGCTCCTCATACAAATCAATGCTCAAGCAAAGATGTCGTTCTCCTCGCTCCAAAGCCTCTCTGTTCTTGGCATTGTCGAGGTAGTACTTGTTGAGGTTTTGCAAAACACTGAAAGGGTCACAGCGCGGACTGCCTGTGAGCATGAAAGGATCTTGCACTTCGATCAACTCCTTGAGCTGCTTCATGTGGTCGGAGACGTCTAAATCCCAACCTGTCTCAAGGTCAACAGCGAAACCAGCATTGAGCCCCAAATGCGAAGCTCCTCTTGTGAACCTTGGCGGGCTGAACACTTCCGCCACATCAACTGCGCCAAGCTCTTGCTTCTTGGCCTCAATCTTCCTCTTCAAGCAGTCGATCGACTCGACTCGCTTCCACTTCTTCTCCGACATCACCTCCTCCTCGTAGTCGAAGCCGAGGTAGGAAATGTCATTTGCTGGATCCTGTTTCTTGTGTGCTGCTGTCGAACCTGAAGCCGCTGCCAAAGACGAACCGGCCTCTCCTCTCGCAAGCACCTGCTCTATTGTGGTGTCGCTTGCACCCACCGCCACAACTGGCGGTTCACTTGGAACGACAACCTCAGCCTCCTCTGCTTTGGATGCCGATGGATCGAGCTCCTCAACTACAACCTCTGCTGCTCTCTTGTACTGCATGTGTCCGACGGACTTCCACCTCTTGCTAGGCGACTCGGGGCTAGACGGCTCACTCCGCTTTGCCCCTTCCTTCTCAAACTTCTCCTCGATCCTCACCTTCTTCTTAGGTGCTGCACTGCTCTCATCCTCTCCTTTCCTCAACCTCTCAGCCTCTGCATCTGCTCTCTTCTTGAGCTCCTCCTCCTTCTGCTCTGACCTCAATGCGACCCTGTCTGCATGCAACTCGACTCTGCGAGGGTCGACAAGTGCAACAATCCGACGACGGCATTCGTCGGAATGAGCCACTGGACGGGCTCCGGCCTTGACGGCCGTACAACCTTTGCAGTTGTCCGTGAAACCATGACGTTCCACGTCGGCTTTGCGCACGTAAAAGGCTCGTGCGTCTGGCGGGAGGCCCGGCGTTGGTGGTGCCAGCCTCGCACGCCCAACTGAAGGCAACGCAGGTCGAAGATGCGTTCCTTCTCGAACACCTGTTCGTGATGCTAGATCCCAAGGGAATCCAGCCAACTCCTCAATGCCATCTGTGCTCCATCTCTGGTTGGTGGGCAACCGCTTCACCGCCAAGCCAATCTTCAAACCTTCTGAAGAAAGCCCCATCACAGAATTGGTACGCGCATGGTGGCCAACAAAGCGAACCGGGGTCGACATCGGTTCCCAATCCAACCTGCCAGCCTTCTCCTTGGCCTCACGGATGTGAACCAGCTCTCCAAACTCTAGAGCAGGCTTGTTCCACTTCTTGCCATGGGCTCGCTCATAGGCTGTGCTTCCAGAACTGTCCTTCCTGTACACGTTGATCGACTCTGCAGCAAAGTTCGCAATCCAGGACGTCAACGGGTGGTCATTAGGAAGGCTCATGTTCAGCTTTCTCTCAAGCGACAATCGCAAGGCCCTCATCTGCCTCTTCAACTTTCGGATTGCCACCTCAATGCTTCCATTGGCCTGATGATCTCCAACAGGCGAATTCTTGTTCACAATCTCGATGTCCGGCAGTGATGCCGAAACACTTGTCTTCAAAGCCATCAAGGCAGGTTCGTTGTCTGACATGTGCACCAGCCTCTTGTGCCCTGTCTCGGTGATGAAGCGGGCCATGCCTCTCTGTGTGAAACCGCTGTTGCTCTTGTCCGGCAGTGCGAAAGCTCCCAACATGCCCGATGGTGTCGACTTCATCGCCAAAAACGGCGACGACTGCATGAAGTAGAAGTCACTGTGCACTGCGGGTCCTTCCTCCTTTTTCTCCTCCTCTGTCCTCTTGCGATGTGGTGTTCCTGTCGATCGAGCTTTGATGCACACCTCACACCAATTTCTGTAAACAGCATGGTTCTGGGCCTCATGCTCTTCAATCTCTGACTTGGTGGGGTTCCTCACCCTAGTCGGGCTCCTCACCAAGATGCCATCAACTGCCTCCGGAACATACCAGAAGTGCGTTTCCATCTTGTGCACCATTGGCTCGAACTGCTTGTGGATCTCGTCAAAGGACATGGAGTCGTGGATCTTGTCATCGAAGATGAGCTCACCTGTCTCCTCATCGTAGCTCAACCTTCTGAACACCTGGGACCATTTGGGTCCTTCAGGCCAGGTGCCTCTTGTAGTGAAACAGTTGAAGTCCTTGCGGATGGCCAAAAATGCCCCTTCAGGGATTCCAGCCGGTCTTGCCTTTGGCGTCAAGCCAACTTCAAATTCTTTGGGGTTCATGTAGTCGACGGTCTCTTCCGCCAATGCCCAACCCCTCCATTGTGGAGATTCTTCGCTCTCCTCACCTTCTCCTTCCTCATCTCCTTCTTCCATCCTCTGCTCAGGGCCTCCTCCGCCCTGGTCTCCTCCTTCTCCATTGGGCTCCTCATCGACCGGACTTACGGCCTCACGGCCTGCCGCTCGTTTCCCGACGAGGCGGAGTCGGAATCTAAGGTTCCCAACTCCTGCAAGTCACCACGCTGCTTGAGGTAGATGTTGTACAAATTGCCCTCCTTGTAGAGCTTCAGCATGCCGCGCTCACCATTGACATCAATGAGCTGCTGAAGAAAGGCCCTCATGGCTTGGGCCATGCTAGTGTTCCTGGGGATCAACCATCCTCCATCTTCGAAGATGTAGGCGTCGTGAGTGGCACTGAACTCACCTGCAGATCCAAGCGGCTTGTGGACATGGGTGACCGTTGCCTTGAACCCACGTCGATGTCCTTGCTCATCAATGCAAGGCACCCTCACTCTGCCATACCTCGGGATCTTTTCACCATTCGCCACCCTGTAGTCCCCAACACGTCGAAGCTGCAAGCCCTGGGCCACGGCCATCTCGATGGGGATCACGGTGCTAACAGCTCCTGAATCGTAGTTCAACTTCAACCACTCTTCGCCCTCCACACTGCAAAGATAGGTGGGCGATCCATCCTCGTTCTCGGTGTTCATGCTGTTGTGGTCCACGTCCTCATGCACTGATGCTGACCCTTGGGCTGGTTCTCCTCCTCGAGATCGACTCCTTGTTCGACTGTCGTCTCCACTGCGGGTCAGTCCAGGCGGGATCGATGGTGTCCAGTCAGGCGTCCTCGAGAAATCAACTCCGACTGCACGATCTCGACTCTGGCTCGCCCTGATGGATGGGACACCAGTGAAAACTCTCCTCCTCTGCCTCTGACTGGATGCCTCCACTGTCTCCTCCTCAGCATCCTCACGCTCAGCCTCAACAGCCTCTGAACCAGGTGCCGCTGCGTCTCCTGATGCACCTCCGACCTCTGAAAAGAGTGCGTCCTCCTCTCGCTCCTCATCTGGGCCAAGTGGGGAGTAGACCTGAAAGCGCTCACCTTCTCCATCACCAATTGCCGACAGATCCAAATGCGACAGCTCCGGCTCCTTCTCTGGCTGCTGAGATGCTTGGCGTCCATCTTCAACTGAATTTGCTGAGCCTCCTTTGCCTTTGCCCTTCTTGAAGCCTCCATCTGACTTCCCCTTCTGACCACTCTTGCCTTTGCCTTTGCCGGTGTTGCTCCAGCAATCCTTTCCATAGTGGCCATACTTCATGCACGCCCAACACTGCACGTTGTCCATCCTCTTGCTCTTAAGTGGATCTCCTTTGTTGGATGTCTTGCCTCCTCCTTTGCTTCGGCACTCTGATGCCTTGTGCCCCAACTTGCCGCAGGCGTGGCATGTCATCTTGTTGGCGTTGTTGCCGGCCTTGCCACCTTTGCCTTTGCCGCCCTTTGACAATGCTCCCAACTCCATAGGATCATCTTTGGGACCTTTGTTGCGGCTTGATCCAAGTTCCCTCCGACTAAGATTGAGGGAATGCCTGGTGGTGGCATAGCTGCTCAACTTATCAAAGAAGCTCTCGAAGTCGCCGAACTCGTCTGCTCTGAGCATGAAGGTCTCCTCAAGCGACTCTGGCATCAACCTGTAAAGCCCGGCAATCAATGAGTCGTCCGACACAACACAAGGATTGTCTGCATTGTCGGTGAACTCCTCATATTGCTTCTTCTTGGTCAACCAATGCTCAAGCGAACTCCCCAACTCTTCGACCGACTTGCACTTGCTGGGGTTTTGAACCATGCTCAAAATTGTAACACGTCGCATTGAGCTCGTGGGGTCATACTCATTGATCAACCTCCTCCAGGCCTCAAGGCTATCTGTACCTGAATTGCGGACCACTCGGTTGGCATCACCTGTTGTAAATGAAGTCAAATAGGCTCCAAGACCTTCCAACATACTGTCGATGTCGTCGATCTTCTCAATGTCATCTGCAGCGCTGCCAAACACGTCATTCCAAGTCACCACCTTCGTCTCTCCATAGTGGGCCTCCTTGACGATGGTCTTGCGCTGCTTGCCAGCCCATGACAACACAACTTCAACATCTCCACCAAACTTGGCCTTCGCAAAGGTCTTGAACTTGTAGACCCACTCTGAAAAATCCTGGTCGCTCTTACCAGAAAATTTGAAGGGCTGTCCAACACCTTTTGTATCAACCAACTCACTCTTCTGCGATCCGGCCAGCCTCAAAGCAATGCTCCTCTCTTCTTCTGCTCGAGCCGCTCTGCCGAATGCATCCTGTAGTTGATGCTGCAACTGCATCATCTGTTGTTGATGAGATAGCAGCATTTCCTGTTGCACCTGAATCTGGGCTTGCAGGTCTAAAAGCGGGTCCATCCCCTGTCCGGTAGGGGACCCCATCACAACCACCTCTTGCAGCTCTTGGTACACCTTCTCGATTTGTGCCCCTGAACCTTGGGGTCTTCACGCTACCATGATCGAGTCGTATACGCGGCGGGCTGAACTTTTGGGCCACGATGCTCAAACATCGAACAGAAGCTAAAGTGCATATATATATATATATTGATATACATAGTCTCTCCAACGGAATATTCTCTAGCTCAAAAGCATTATCATTATATGTAACATATGATATCACCATATGCAGTGGTTGACACAAGCCCGGAGAAAATGCACAACTCCAGAAACATTTTCTGAATGGAAGTCTACAGAATCCGATGAGAAATCACCGGCAACGGTATGCCTTCGGGCACGGCGGTCCTCACTAGCTGATCGCGCTGGACTGCTGTTGCAAACTCCAACCTGCAAGAAACGCCATGCAGAATTAACTCCCATAAATGAATGGAACCACAAGAAGCTACTAGGGGCTCCTGGCCTTACTACTAGGAACAAAGACGCTACTACGGGCTCCTGGCCTTACTGCTAGGAACAAGAAGCTACTAGGGGTTCTTCTTCAGTGCGAGCGCTTCAAGTCACACCTCAAATGCTGCCAGACCTCTGAGCCTGCGTGTCCTCTCCGCGTCTGAATTTAATCCGCTGGCCGAACTAAACATCATGTTTAAACATCATGTTTCTTGGTCACCCGTCTAAATTTTACTATATGTTATTCATATTTGTTGACCCAACAAGCATGCTGAAGCAGCAGGACTGAACAAAATGACATTCTTCTATATGCAAAACAATTCTGCAAACATCTGCAAAGCCTTCCTCCCCACAGAATTTGCACAATGTCACCTCAGACATGCCCTCATCATTGGAGGTAGAGCTGTGCTCAGAGCCTGGTTCCGCTGGACGTTGAGTAAATGATCTGGAGGGATGAAACTACTCACTCCCCATAGCAATATAAAAAAATAGCGAGCAGCCCTAGAGGCTTCCTGGAGGGGTGCGTTGTTATCCCCTGTCCTTTCCCACCCTCAACAACTATCAATTTGTCATCAGGAAGTACCGGAGAGGAAACGTGTAGTATCCTAAATAGATGAGCTGAGCGGGTGTTGAAGCACAAACTCTGCGAGGTCAGGTAAATGATAGGCAACATTGGTCAAGTACGTATGCTCGCCTCAGTATTGTAAGCTGTCATTGCAAATCCCTCACGTGACATGCTTCAAAAACACCGTATTTGTTCAATTTTGTTCATGGGTGGGGGCCAAACCTGCGCCAAACCTGCCGTCCTGGCAAAGCTCCTGAAAGCCTTAAGACTTAGGAGTCAAATGGAGTCAAATTAGCTCTGAGGCGAGTCGCTCGAGCATCGGCTCTCGCTGTCATCTGCGAAGGAATTCTCTGCCTCTGAACCTGAAGGCATTCTCACTGTATGCAGCGAGAGCAAGTCTAAAACCACGAATTCCAAGCGGAGCTAGTCATTCGAGAAAGCCAGTTGTGTCTGAAGTGGAATCTGTTGCACCTTTGCATAGGCCCACTTAGGATAACGCAAAGGGTTCCCAAACGCCTAGAGTATACAGGTGGTCACTTTAGCTCAAATCTCACACTGCCCAAAGGCCCTGACTAGGGCAAAGCTTCACCAGAAGCTAACAACATCTGCTTGTGTTATATTCAGATGTTGTGAACTTGGCAACTCGTGTTGGAGTTTGGCTCCTGAAGCGTCATGGCGCGCCTCTGTCAGACATGTCAGAAACAGACCTCGCGTCATCGTCGTCATCTTCGAACTCACCGTGCAAGTCCTGGACACAGAGGCATTGGCCTCACTTCATAGTAAACATTTAACAAACATGAACAAACCAACAAGATCTGACAAGCCATCACATCACCTCATCCATGCATCCTCTGAGCAAACATGGAGGGGTTGGTGAAGGTTGCTACAGCATTCTTTAGCAGGTTGTTTGAACAACTTCATGCAACTTGTGACCTGGTCCTTGACCTTACTCTTCATGCAACTTCATGTGTGGACCTAGGTGGCCTTCTTCTAACCTTCAAGTCTCATGCCAAGCTGTGAACGATCTCCTCTGGGATGCTTGACAGGGAGTGGGAGGACGCGATCGGATCTGAGGACCTGGAAACTAGGAACAAAGGGCATCGCTACTAGGAGCAAGGAAGCTACTAGCAGCTCCTGGCCATACTACTAGTAAGAAGAAGCTACTAGGAACAGGGGCATCGCTGGGACGTGTCAACATGATGTGCCATGCACCAAAGATGCATCGGGACGTGAACATGATCTTGTTTTGATGCTACCACCATCCACGGGTCTTCTGCTGACACCAGCACCTTGTGACATCGTTGATGCAACATTCCAAAGGATATGTGTCCTTTCCACAATACTACATGGGGGGTCTTAGACACCAACCCAGCTTCAGAGGACACAAACCATCTTGGGTTGGAGGACACCAACTACTCTGTCTTAATTACTCAGCCCATCTTAAGCCCAACGGACTACGGGCTCACCTACATTCCTCCCTCCCTGGACTTCCACCTGCCTCGATCGATGCGATCGGTGTGGGACATTGCGGAGGTTCCGGCTTGGCCGCCGGTGCGAGCGCTTGAGGCCCGACCTGCGAAACGAGGATTCCTTCTCCGGGAATGTCACACTATATAAATCCATCTAAATCCACAATAATCCCCAGTACCTATTAAACACTCCCCATATTCAAATAAAAAACAGACACGTCTGAACCCCCTATAAATACGGTTTACAGCCCTTTAACACCGCTACTAAGCTAACAACATGGCCGATGTTTGGTTATGTTTTAACACTAGGTTTCAAAAGCAACCCCAACTGCCGACCTCTGTCCACCCTGTCCATCCTCTGTTAGTTGTTAGTCTAATGAAGAATCACTATTTTAATATAGGTTGTTGTAAGGGAAAAAGGAATACCCTTCGATCTGGAGTTTTTTTCATGTTTGATATGCGTTTAATAAAGGATTTTGTATAAACATTTCCTGGGGTGGCTTTTTGGTTTTGAAGCTCTTCCCCGGTTTCTGGACAAAATCTCCACTTCAAGCTTTACAAAGCGCTGCGCCTGCCAGGAAATCTGCATTTCATAAAAACATATATATATATTATATAATCAATGATTCAAGGATCCTCCCACTGACCCTATTTTGGACAACCCCAATTCAGGGCCCCCCTAGTTAAAAAATGCATCCGAGTTTTTGTTGATGAGGGGGCCCCCGGAAGGGGTTATTGTATGTTATTGTGCTGTCACTGGCTTTGTCACTTTGTGCATGGGGCATATTAATTATGGACTGAAACTTGTTCTCCTCATTGGATTCCCCTAGCAAGGACGCACTAGGGGCTCCTGGCCTTTCTACTAGGAGCATTTGCTCTAAAGGTGTTCCCCAAGAATTGTCCGAGTCTTGGCCGAGATGAGGTCTTCCCCTGCCTGAGCCGGGCCAAGTCTTCCAACGTCAAGACCGGATTGGGCTTTGCCACATCCCAAAGCACGGAGACATTCTCATCGGAACAGGTCACCTGGAAAATGGTGCAGCTGGATTTGGCCAACAGCTTTTGAACCGTGTCACCTTCAGCCACTAGGCCAACACAGTGTATCTTCATCATGAGGCAAGTCTGACGTCTTTGCTGTTTGGTATCGATATTTAGTCTCTGACTGGTGTAGTATTCTAAATGGTTCTAATTCACATGTTTACTCAACATACAATACCATTTCCAAAGCATCCCAATGTCGTTCCAAACACCCAACCCCATCCCACAACCACACCTGCATGCGAATGCCCATCATGCATTCGTTGGGGTTCTCTTGGTCCGCGGAAAGCAGGAAGCACTGCGCTGGTGTGTCGCGCTGATTCCCAGGCCGCAGCAGGTGCAAGGTGCGCCCCCGCTCGAAACCTTTGAAGGTGACCTCATTGAAGGCCTCGAGCGCTGAGCACTTCGCTGAGCGCTGAGCGAAGATCAGCATCGCAAAGCAGCTTAAACGTGTTTCCCGGCACTGAACAAAACGGATATAGTATTTATACATTGAGTGCTTGAACGAAGCATCCACTGTGGAGTGTGGAGACATACGTGGTACGTGGACGCAGGAATTGGACAACTATGGTGTTACTGTTCTGACCAGTCTTTAGATTAACTTCAGTTGTGCAGTTGAATGTGCAGCCACGAAGGCTCGGCACTTCATCCCTGGCTAGTAGGCCCTGCCTCCTTGAGTGAATCGGTATCTTCAGGCTTGATGAGCTGCAAGAGCGGGTGGTGCGACTGCAGCTTGCAGCCAAAGACCTCGGCAACAATCAATCCCCAAACAGGCGGCAAACAGCGTGTAGCCACCTCTTTTGGTGTGAGCAAGCGCAAACAAGCTTAGCTTGCTAGTTTGATGATGCTTTATGTATTTTGTATCTGTATCTCTTCAAAGGAGTCCACCCCGAGCCTTCTCTTCACCCCAGGCATTGAGGACTCGATATTCCTGCCATCAACCAAACATGAATTTCAATCAAATCCAGTCTTCAACTAAGACAAAAAGGCCACCTCTAAGATAGAAAAGCACGATGATAACATCACAAGCAGTGTTGCAAACATAAGCATCACAAGCATGATTTCACCTTTTGCGGCACGCCTGCGTGTCAACTAACAGAGTGGCATCAAAGACCATGTGGCACATACGGCTCCACCATTTCTGCCACCTACGGAAGGTGACTCGATGGCCTTTCTTAAGCACTTGCAGCAAGAGCTTACCTCTACATTGTATGCTAGGGCATGCTTTTTTTAAATACTAATATAATTACATGTGTGTATTAGATGTGTATAAATATATGTATATATATATATGTGTAATGATACATATATGATACATGGTCTTTCTTGCTTCATTATCGCTCCATTTAGGCCCTTGAACACAAATATCAACTTCCCTGAAGCTCAGCTTGACCCCAGTTGGGGCAAAACAACCCAATGGCTCGCAATGGCCCGCCTGTCGCCCATGACTTTGTCAATGAGCATTGATGTGACTTCCTGCATAGAGCCCGTGACTTCGAACTGGCTTCCCAAGGTGCATTCCTGGATGAGATGACCTTGCACCTGGCACGGAAAGGATGAGCAAACCGCATACAGGAAGGACAAGGACAGAAAGAAGAAGACTCCACCCAGTCTATGCGTCTATCCCTGCTGGAAGAAAGGAACCATGGATGATTGACATCTTTGCAAGATTTATTGTCTGAACTCGGACTCTTCAAGTAGTTATTCTGCGAGGTCGCTATCACTTCACTGTCACTTTGTTCCCGCACCTTGTACCATTTGACGCTTCCATTTGGAGCCTCAAAGCAGAACTCATAGCCGAAGTCTGTGGTGACCTGAGGAGGAAAGAACATAGATCAGGAGGCTGGAGAACCACGCCAGCAAATTCCACAACAGTCTGTGGAAATCTATGGAATATAAAGGGAATTCAACTCCCTCGCGGCCAAGAGACAATTTCAGTGCTTGCGCCTTGGCACTTCTCTGGAGGTACTTGTCCTTCTTGGAAGCCTTTTCTTCTCATCCAGAAGTTTTGGCCTCGGTACTGGCACCTCTTGAAGCCCCTTAAAACCTTTAAGCAACAACTGACGCCCCACTGAACCTTCCACTGACTATGGCTGCAATGCTCCAAGTGTCCATGAATGTCCATCGTGTCGTTTGAGTCATGAACACACTGCACAAGTGAGTTTGTAGCCTGCTTGCACTGCAAGCTTGGCCCTGCCCGCTCTGCGGGTGCAACTCAGTGGCACATGGTCTTCAGGATTGATACGAAGGATGCGCGCCACAGGACCATGCGCGGATCGCAAATGTCCATCTGCGCTTGCTGCGAGATCAAGTGCTCGATCTCCCTCGTCTTGCTGTCCTGGGCAATGGAACCCGCAACAGGAATGCCAAAACAATGGCCGGTGCATTGTGGTCCAAGCAACTAATAGATTGATCATTGATCGAAATTAACTCATCACATCTCATAACCCTTTTTGATCATTTTGGACTTCTCAGCCCAGGCACCGTGACCACACCGGTCTTGGCGTTGCCTTTCAAGGACCACACCGCTGCGCCACAAATGCGCACGTAGTTGGCCAACATCTTGGATTCTGAGCGAAGCTCGGTGATGTCCTGGTCTACGGCGAGAAGCCATTGCTTTTAGCATCTGCCCAAGCTGAGGTCGCATGTGGCATGCTTGACAGTGCAAGTCCGGGGGCACTCATGCCAGGTCTGTATCACGTCGATGCGTATATATCTATATCACCACTGGAGCAGGAATGCAAGGTCTAGGACCTTGAAAAAAAACATCGAGGCGTTTGACTGCACCTGATGGTAAAGCAAGTACGGCAACCTCTGTATCCTCCACATTTTTCCTTTTATATACTAATATATATATATCACACGTATACAGTATATTTATATATTATGTTTACACGATTTTACATGCATGTAATACATGCATATACAAGTATTGCAACGCACTTCTCATGGACATTGATCGATGAATCAACAACCCAATAACTACATTCGATCGACCACCCCCCCCCCCTCTCAGTCATGGCCAATGCCAATCACGCCCACGATGTTGCCATGGCGGTCACGTCGTCCAGTGGCACTCCAAAGGATATCTCTCCGGTGGCCACTCTTCGTCCAAAGCGAGAATTCGTAGTTGGTGATTTCCTGCCAGCGGGTTCCACAATATCTTTTCGACAAATGCCTCAACACGAGCTCTTCAACATGATCTGTGAGAAAGCCGTGGCATAATAGTACAAAATTGCATAATTATTAAATGCGGGCCAGGAAAGTAAGTGCTTCTGTAAAGGCTCGCAATGGCTGTCTTCAACCCCTCACGAAATCTCCTGGCCGTTCATGCCCTGGGAGAGCATCGTCTGTACAGAGTCGGAAAACCTGAGTGGAGCTGTCGTCAGCTCATTCAAGAACCCCCTCAAAAGCCCTTGGGAGAAGGCGTTTGGTGAAGGTGAGAGGTCGCTTACTGGCGAGTCTCAACAATGCAGCAACAAAGTGCTCTCTAGCTGAATCATGCTTCATTGCAACATCTCCCTTAACCCGATTGAAACAAGAATCTTCTCAAAAACTGTTCATTCTGCAAGGTTGCTGCCAAGTCAAACCGAGACAATTTATATGAGCTCAAATGCGGTTTAACAGTTAGACAACCAGAGTGTGGGTAACTCAGGCCCCCCACCCTCCTATACACAAGCGACACAGAGGGAAAGCGGGCTTG